AATATGAATATAAATATAAATATAAATATAAATATTAGGTTGTCAAATATCTCCCTTCCGCTTTTTTGCTCTTGGTTTGTAATACAAAAAGGCGGAAGGGAGATATTTGACCACCTAATATTTATAAATAAATATAAATATAAATATAATTATATAAGTATAAATATAAATATGAATATAAATATAATATAAATACAAATATTAGGTTGTCAAATATCTCCCTTCCGCTTTTTTGCTCTTGGTTTATAATACAAAAAGGCGGAAGGGAGATATTTGACAACCTAATATTTATAAATATAAATATAAATATAAATATAATTATATAAATATAAATATGAATATAAATATAAATATAAATATTAGGTTGTCAAATATCTCCCTTCCGCTTTTTTGCTCTTGGTTTATAATACAAAAAGGCGGAAGGGAGATATTTGACAACCTAATATTTATAAATATAAATATAATTATATAAATATAAATATAAATATGAATATAAATATAAATATAAATATAAATATTAGGTTGTCAAATATCTCCCTTCCGCTTTTTTGCTCTTGGTTTATAATACAAAAAGGCGGAAGGGAGATATTTGACAACCTAATATTTATAAATATAATATAAATATAAATATAAATATAATTATATAAATATAAATATAAATATGAATATAAATATAAATATAAATATAAATATTAGGTTGTCAAATATCTCCCTTCCGCTTTTTTGCTCTTGGTTTGTAATACAAAAAGGCGGAAGGGAGATATTTGACCACCTAATATTTATAAATATAAATATAAAAATATAATATAATTATATAAGTATAAATATAAATATGAATATAAATATAAATATAAATACAAATATTAGGTTGTCAAATATCTCCCTTCCGCTTTTTGCTCTTGGTTTAAATACAAAAAGGCGGAAGGGAGATATTTGACAACCTAATATTTATAAATATAAATATAAATATAAATATAATTATATAAATATAAATATGAATATAAATATAAATATAAATATTAGGTTGTCAAATATCTCCCTTCCGCTTTTTTGCTCTTGGTTTATAATACAAAAAGGCGGAAGGGAGATATTTGACAACCTAATATTTATAAATATAAATATAATTATATAAATATAAATATAAATATGAATATAAATATAAATATAAATATAAATATTAGGTTGTCAAATATCTCCCTTCCGCTTTTTTGCTCTTGGTTTATAATACAAAAAGGCGGAAGGGAGATATTTGACAACCTAATATTTATAAATATAAATATAAATATAAATATAATTATATAAATATAAATATAAATATGAATATAAATATAAATATAAATATAAATATTAGGTTGTCAAATATCTCCCTTCCGCTTTTTTGCTCTTGGTTTATAATACAAAAAGGCGGAAGGGAGATATTTGACAACCTATTATAATGAATCTGTTGCGATATGTATTAATGTGTAGTTTATCATACCGATGATGGTTTGGCCACAATTGTCATCGTTATTTTTCCTGACACAATTTAAGTAATTCCATATCATCAAAGAATCGTCAACGATTACTTTGTCGGTTAGATCCATAAGGGATGCTAATGGATCTGTGGTTTGGGAATTATCAGCACCTGCTGATATTGATAAGTCGCAACGGTTGCCCCATACACTCAACTAGAAAAAATTATAACAAATATATATATATATATATATATATATATATATTTGACCCGACAGACGTTATCCTGTACCCACATCTACGTTTTTTCAATATCCTATACTAATATTTACCGTTCAGTTAAAAATAATAATTATCATTTTTCGAATTACTATTGACACAAATATATGAGTGATGTTAAATGTAGAACTGCTTCAAATAAAATGATGATCTCAATTCCCACTTTAATTATCCCTTAACAAATATTTTATTGTTCAATAAAGTTAAATCCATATTTGAAATGAATTAATTCGTCAAATCCTGTTCATAAGTGCTCTATTCAACCTACGATCAACAAAATTATTGCAGTAAATGGAGAGAAAAAATCCGTGTGCCCTGCGATTTTTTTTACTGTGCTCCAATTTGCATGATATTTTGGAAATAGGCTGATCTTAATCTCAAGTTCCATACATCTATATTTTTTTTAATATTCTATACTAATATTTATACCGTTCAGTTAAAAATAATTATTGTTTTTCGAATTACGATTTACCCCAATATATAAGTGATGTTAAATGTAGAACTGCTTCAAATAAAATGATGATTCGCAATTCCCACAGTTAACACTTTAATAATCCCTTTAACAAATATTAAAATATGTTCAATAAAATTGTATATTAAAAATTATACACTGCAATTTATAAAACAAATTTATTTCCAATAGCTCAATTTATTTTAATGCCAAGGGTTATAACAATATTTTTAGTCATACCTGTAGATGTATAAATAAATGATTTTTTGTTTATTCGCGATTAAAACATCGATTTTCCAAATTTATCACACAAAAATTCATCGTCTGCCTTTGTGATTTATAGCATAAGATATACGTATTGGAAATTGAAGTATTTTAAAAGGTAAAGGTACAATATCACCTTGGATTTTTCTACCCAAAATAATCGCTTCAATAATCCTGCCTATAATATTTATAATTTCGTACAATATTTTAACTGGCTTTAACTATTTTAATATCTAAATTACATTTTTCTCACTAATAATTCAATATACATTATTACTTAAGTTTATATTTGAAGTGAATTAATTTGTCAAATCCTGTTCACATGTGCTCTATTCAACCTACGATCAACAAAATCATTGCAGTAAATGGAGAGCAAAAAACCCTGCGATTTTTTTTACTGTGCTCCAATTTACTTGATATTTTGGAAATAGGCTAATCTTAATCTTAAGTTCAGAAGTGAAAACAATTTGCACTCCGTCACAACCCCCCGCATTAATTGGATTATAACTCTTTTAATTCTGATTTTATAAGAACTTCTAATACACTATTTTAAAGGTAATTAAATGATCTATAACTTTCTCTTTCATAAATAGAGTAACTTCTCTTATTTTAAAACGGCGAAGGGTTAAAGGGCTTGAAAGACACTCTGGTTGGGCAGCCGCGCACTTTTTAAACAATCATAACTCTATCAATATTTGTGTAACAGAAAAATAATAAAAAGCAATAATTAGAGAGAAAAAGACCTTGAATTTTCATCTATATACCTTTATACGTATCTTTTATTCTTTCAGATATATAATAATGAGAAATTGGTTGTTATTTTAAATAGATTTTCTTTATGAAATCATGAGCTTTTTGAAAATCGTTTGTACTAAAGTTATGGTATTTTCTAGAATCCATCAAGATCTCTTAAACCAAGTTAATTCTAGACGGAATACGATTATTTTGAATTTTGGTGGAAATGGCACTCATAAACTTGAAAATTTGATTTTTCTGAAAAAACATTGTATGCGTCTTTTATTTGCATGATAGCTCACTCGTTTTACACGCAGGAGTACTCATTTTAAAGCTCATTTTGAGCACTATAAAAACCCATTTTCATTGTTCCTAGAGCACTATTAAACACCGATTTATTAAGATTTTAATTGGTATAATTTTGTTCATTACATGATTTTCGTTAAAATGTATATTTTTGGAGATATTTGCAAAAAAAAACGATAAAAAACGCCAAAAAGAAACGAATTTTTAGTAGCCAGTGACTTGAAAAGTATTTGCAAATGCTTTTTTGAAAAACATTATTTAACATTTTTTTCCTATAATTAGTTCTTCTATCGATATGCGACGTTATTTTGAAAAAATAAAATTACACCACTAAGAGGGATGTCATTCCCCTTGGGAAGTGGCAAAGGAATCTAAATTATTTTTACTTTTGAACTTGAGAGTAAGATGAACCTAAGTCCAAAATATCTTACGAATTGGAGCCCAGTAAAAAAAACGCTCCATTGACTTGAGTAAATATTCCGTATCCACTGCCAAACATATTAATTTTTGACACAGTGAAACTTTTAAATAATTTATTGGATAAGTAATTTTTTTTTGTATTTTGATTCAGTAAAGTAAGGCAAAACACGACTGCATTAGTTGAAAAATATCAATCTGTAAAATTGAATCAAATAGTGTATATTCACGGACAGTCCAATAAATATATAATGTATCTTATATTATTTTAATTTCTGGCACATCTCAGCTGCTTTTCGGCAATAATAATGTAGACATTACATTTTTCTTATTCATAATCATAAATATATTATATTTTAATATTTTCTTAGCCTATATTAAATTTGGCAAATGACAGTCTTCATTTGTTTTTAATGTCAAACAGTGCCTCAAATATTTTCAATGTCAATCAATGATAAGCGCTTTATTGGAATTTTTTCCATTTATTTCAACAATCTAACTATATTTTTATAATCATAACAATCCTAAAAAAATCCCTTAACAAACTCCAGAAAGATTTATCAAAATCCGAATAATCGTTTAGGAGGATTATCATTTCATAAATCTAACTATATTTCTATAAATCAAAAAATCCTAAAAAATTCCCTTAACAAACCTTTCACAGCTCATTACAGAAAAATTTTATATTTAAGATATATATATATATATATATATATATATATATATTATATATATATATATATATATATATATATATATTATATATATATATCTTGATAGTTTTTTCGACTGCCAGTTACTTTGAAATATATATATATATATATATATATATATATATATTATATATATATATATATATATATTTCTATTTATACATATATCAATTATCCTCACCCTCAGCAATTTGAAAAACTCATTTCTCAGCTCATCCTCCCCGATGCTAGTTTTACCCTGAATCTCATTCATGTACTTGGAAACAACTATAATAGGATAGTGTGCTTTTACTAACGAATCATCTTTTTTCTTTCGAAAGATGTCATAATCGCGTAAGCTACATCTACAAATTAATAAGAAAAAAGCGACTGACTAGTTTACCTCATGATAGTGTTTTAACACTTATGTTTATTACAGTTAGCACTAACGTTAAATCGAATGCTTCTTGTATTCTTCTGTAAAGGTAACATTCTGCGTACAGGAACACCGTTGTGTAGAAGTCTTGGGACTCGGTGAAGGATTCTAGGAAGTTGTTCCATGTTTTTACATCGGAACCTGGAAAAAGATAATAAAAGATTATTATGTTATGTACAGTCTGAGAATATTATAGTTATGCACTTACCATGTCCTTTAATGGGTTGTAGTTTTTTGTTAGTTTGCAATTCGTTTTTGAGTTTTGAAATGTGTCCTATGATTTGTTTAATTTCTTCTGCGGAATCCTACAAAGAGAAATACAAAGATAAGAGACAATTCTTTTCTTTTTAAACTAAGTAATCTTTTACAACTTACTCCTTCATATTGCTCGATAATTTCACACCTGTCTATGACTAAATGATCCAAAAAATTTGTTAAAATAATAGGAGCCCTTTCTTGTAACGTGTGATAAGCAAAACTCCTACAAAACCCAATAATTATTAACACATTTCATATATTACATCATATTAATACTAGTAATACTAGTTATCTATTATTATTATAAAATTGCATCACTACTTACTTTTTATACTGGGCACTTAAATAAGCTCCTTTTGGTGTCGCTATATCCTTTAAACACGTTACTACTTGAGACATTTTGGTAATAAATTAAGTAACTTTAATAGAATTTAAATACTAATTAATTTAGAAAAAATTTTGATAAGGCATGATGACAATTTGAGGTTATGACGAAAGTGAGAACTGTCACTTTTGGGACAACTGTCAAAGGGGTAAAAAATTAATTAAAATTATAATAATAATAAAATTATAAAATATAATTTAAAAACAGCTATAAATTACTTATTTCTTTAGTTAATTTTTGGTTATATCTACATAAATAAATACAAATATTATTTATTTTATATCTCCTATGGTAACACGTAATCGTTTTCCTCCGTCCATCTTTGTTCAAGCCAACTTCAAGGCAAACAAAAAAATTACAAGATAAATCGACATATAAAAGTTCGACAGAAATTAATTAAATAATATTAAAAATGGGTTTATCTCCTGCAGCAAAAGAACGTGCATCGATTGTATTTAATATTTGTAGAGTGACTTTCCATTATGGATTTATTCCGACGATATTATATCTCGGTAAGTTGAATAGAAAATTCATAACCTCAAAATCGATAGATAGTAAATAAATGATTAAAACTTACCTAAAAGAGATTATTTGAGTTTTCTTGGTGTTTCACGTCATTCTGAATCGTTTGACGGTAAAATTGTAGAGTTTGTGTGTGTGAGGCAAAATTTGAATTTAACCTCAAAATCCTTGAAAAAAATATAATTGTTAGTATTGAAATTCACACATTTGAGGAAAATGCCACTTACACCTCTTATAAATAGTTGAACTAATGTTTTCTGTTTTGTATAGGCTTCAAAAAGGGATCTGACAATGGAATGCCGCCTTTGAGGATTTTCAAGTAAGTGCAATTGTATTATTTCAAATTATAAGAAACAATTCATGTATTCGATGTAGTCCTGCTGTATAATCCTGTATATTGTATGTTCGTCCAAAAACATCTTTATCCTTACAGAATCCTTCAACAAATTATATTAAATAAAACTAAATCACCCCTAAAGATTTTTTTTCTTTACTCCGCCTACCCCCTACTAACTTAATTAATAATTAACAATTATCATCTAAACTTTTTTTCATCTTTCTAGTTTACTATGGCAATAATTAAATCAATGATGTCTCCCGTGTAGCACAAAATCAAAGAAACACAAATACATTGTTACAAGATTATAGTTATTTATTTATAAAAGACACACATGTGCATACTTATACAAAATATACAAAAATGGACGGATTGACGATGCATCTATAGTTTATATTAATTATTATTATAAATTTTATGTCGATTGTATCGTGATCTAATTACTAATAAATTTAATATGTAGAACTATGAGTGGATTTTAACTACATAGATATAAGATCATAGATATAAAGTTAAGTAATTAATCATATTTGTAAAGATGTGTATAAAAATAATATTCCTAAACTGACAGTGAGATTCTACAGTTGTCTTAGACTAGGCACTAGTTTACAAATACATTTTTTCTTTGTATTGAATACATTTAATTCTATCTTATTAAAGTATTTTTTTCTAATTAAGGAAAATATTTTGGTTTATTTTGAATGCTAAAGAGAGTTAAAACACTTCAAATTTTCGTTGTAAATATTTTTGAAATGAAAATTAATTAATACTAAGTAACTTAAGTAAAATTGATATTCTGTTCCAAAACAATTGAACAAAACAAATTGCAACTTCCAAGGAGAAACTCAGGTTTACCTGTTTGATTTTTATTCAATTAAATTAATAAATGCTTAGAAACGAAAAATGAAGTTAGTTTCTAAATATTCCATCAATTTTTGGAGAAAAGCTCTTTCTTCAAATTAAAAATATATTAACAATATCATATAAAGTGTAATAATAATAAAAAAAATCAAATACAGACAAGTTAACCATTGGGTTGCCATCTAAATACCAAGTAAAATGAAAAACTTGGAGCACAAAAGTTTGAACTCCACATTGAGGCATTAATTATTAACATCTCACTAAAACTGTCCTGGTTTCTTAAACAAATCGGCAACGCGGCACGACGACCCGGACATTTTGGCACCCGGGTCGTCACGCCGATAATGTGCCTTTAAAAGCTGGGAACTAAAAGATGATACATATATCTTTTAGTTCCCAACTAGTAAAGGCGCATCATCGGCACGACGACCCGGTATGTTTGGCACCCGGGTCGTCGCACCGATGATATTGCTTTAAAAGCTGGGTACTAAAAGATGATACATAATATATAGGCCTGTAAGATGTCGTTTAGTTATAAAAATTGGTCTAGATTAAGTTGCATATTTACATAAGCCTGTAGTGTTTTCTATTTATACATCTACATATAACACTATATGCCTATGTATTATATGTTAAATAACTTAAAGTTTATTTTTATAATTAAACCACTTCCCTTAGATCTAATATTTGCTTGTGGTTATTCTATCCAAAGTATGAGATTTTTCTTATCAAACAAAATGAAATTTTGGTTTCTTAGGCAAATAGGCAATGCGACGACCCAGTACGTTTGGCGCCAGGGTCGTCGCGCCGATGATGTGCCTTTGAAGCACAATAACTGAAGCATATTTTAAAGGATTTGCATGAGATTCTTCTTGTTAGATACAAAATAAAAATTCTGGTTTCTTAGACAAATAGGCAATGCGACGACCTAGTACGTCTTGGCGTCCGGGTCGCCGCGCTATGATGTGCCTTCAAAGCACAAGAACTGAATGATGAAGCCGATAGTACAATCGAAACTTTTAAACAATTTTAGTATAGTAGTTATTTAGTAGTTTTTTAATTTTATGCTACTGAATTATACTGAATATTGTCAAAATGTCGAGTATTTGCTGTGCATTCAGACGTTTTACACATAAACTGTAACGTCACTCGTATGGGTCAGAAAGACCCTGTTATATAACATCGTTTTTTTTTACATTTATCCGCTTGACTGCAGAGCAACCACATGGCTTTTGACAATATTCAGTATGGAAAGTTCTTCATAACATGGCCTAGTAATATTTTAAAAGATTTGCATGAGATTCTTCTTCTTAGACGTTTAGACAAAATCCCTTACCATTCAAAACAACCAACATACCTTCCTTCAAGCATACGTAATCTTCTGTTCATACGTCTTACTGTGCCAATCGGATTCATCAGGCAGAGCATGATGTCTCACCTTGCACAAAACAGGGCCGTACCTCAACAGAATCATTATGACTCCTACGATGAACAGAGCCAGCATGGCAACGGCCGGATATAAAATTATAAAAGCCATAGTAATGGAATCTTTTCGTCTTTGTCTTGATTAAATTTCTTCTTAATGGAATCTTTATCTTTGTCTTGATTAAATTTCGCTTTCGCGTTTCTGCAACTCTGTGTACTGCGTTGAAATGTGTTCGGGGTAGTGATGGTGCACGTTTGTGATAACCGGTGCCTTGTAGCCTGCCTCCAGTTCGGTGTAGTCTAAGGGCGGTTGTTTGTGAGGGGTTGCTGACCAGATTGATACTAACCAACGGTTACCTGGAAAAAGATACGGGGGGTAAATTTAGAACAAATGTGCTTGGTTTACTCTAAAAATACACGTACTGTTTGAAGGAGGTTGGGGTAATTTTAGTTATCACCAAGAGAGAGGGTGGTCCAAAAATCCTTAAACTATCGTGCCTTAAGGCAAATTGCTGGTATTTTCCGTACCAAATATTATTTTTTTTTAAAAAGATTAATGGACCGATTCTGCCGCATAACAGAGAAATGTTACGGCATAGCTATGTTATGCTCCGACTTCCATACATTATGCGAATGAATCATACTGAATGCTGTCAAAATATCATGTATTTGCTGTTCATTCCGGCGTTTTAAGCATAAACTGCAACGTCACTCGTATGTTATCTAGTGGTATCAGAAACACACACTTATCATGCACTTATCTAACATCGTTTTTTTGACATTTGTGCAGCTTTTAGGTTATGTTTTGCATCAGAAAACCTGAGAAATTCACCTGACTGAACACCAACCGCATGACTTTTGTCTACATTACTATAGAAAATTCTTCATAACATGACCTTATCATAAAATTGCGGCAGAATCGGTCCCTAACATTTGAAAAAAATAACTCCGAAAAAATTAGATTTTTGAGAAACTATAAATTTTTGACAAAAACTTACTTTTTTTTGAAAAAAAAAAGACTGAAGAAAAATTTATTTTGAAATATTTTGGAAATTCTGAACTTTTATTCAAAGCAATTGTACTGCTTTAACTGCATAGAGACGAAATATCGAAGCGCGTAAGCACCGCGTCGCCGTCTAACGGATAAATATAAGTACGGAACCCATAGGAATGTAAACAAAATTTATACTTATTGTTAAAATCTTCATAAAATATCTGATAATTTGATGTGCATATGTCTAATGATCATTTTTGACCGCCAAATGGCTTTTTTTTTTACTTTTTCCACTAGATCTCCGAAACCGCTAGACCTACCTCCATGAAAATTTGATTTGATTCAGTTTTTTGAATTATTCAAATCGGACGCTCCGTTCTCTTAAAAACTGAGTTACCGTTTTTCGCACTTTTTGCCCCATATCTTCGGAACGGTTAGAATTGCCTTCACCAAAAACTAATCAGCACGTCTCCTTAGGAATACGAATCGAATGTTTTTTGAATTATTCAAATCGCTTCATCCGTGTTCCCGAAATCGTCGACAAAAATTTGTATCCGAAGACACACACATACATCCATTTTTTCTAAGGTATGCCAAAATGTTCAGAAGGTTTTGAAACGTAAAGATATATAAACATTTTCATTTTCGTTTTTTTGCGATTACTATAACTTACCCTACGGGAAGTTAAAAAATCATTTGTTTGGCATTAGAATATTCACACATTTTTTACTGTTCTCCAATTTGTATGAATTTTTAACTTCCCGTAGGATAGTTATAGTAATGGGCCGAAAATCGAAAATGAAAATGTTTGCATTTCTTCACGTTTTGAAGGTTTCTGAACATTTTTAAAGGGCATACCTCAGAAACCAAATGGATGTGTGTGCGTGTGTGTGTTTTGTATGTCCGCATTTTTTCGTTCACGTTCTCGGGCGCACGGATCAACTGATTTGAATGGTTTAAAAAACATTCGATCTCTATTGATAGGGAGATGTGCTGATTAGTTTTTGGCAAAGGCAGGCCCAGCCGTTACGGGGATACGGAGCAAAGAGTGGAGAAAATAAAATTGAGTTTTTGAGAGAAATAGTATCGGATGTGAATGATCTAAAAAACATTCAATTTGTAATGATTGGGAGAAGAGGTGATTAGTTTTTGGCAAAGACAGGTCCAGCGATTTCGAAGATACAGAGCCAAATGTGCAAAAAATAGCAGTTTTGAGTGAACTAAGCGTCCGATTTGAATGATCTAAAAAACTTTCTGCTTGTATTGATAAAACAATTGCTTTTGAGGATAAAAAATTCTAACATCTTTTTTTATTTTCCATAAAATATTTTTGTAATTTTGGATTATAAATTAAATTACCCAGGCTAAGCACAGTCTACGCGCCACTCTGGTACAGATGTTTACCCAAGTGCGTTTAGACTGTTTATGTTTAGAGCACTTTTGAAATTTTGTGAAAACTGTTGAAAAATGTGAAAATGCCGCCAAGCTAAGCACAGTGTAAGTGAAAATGTCACACAGAATAATTTGCAAATGCGTTTAGAATGTGACTATACGGGAGCACTTTTTTAATTTTGTGTAAATTAGGCAACTATTTTTTTTTTAAATCGAATTCGAAATGAAATGACGATTGTTAATGTTCTGGAGATAAATTGATTCATGATTTACATTTGATTTGCTCAGATATAACAAGATAGCAAAAATAATGAAAGTTACAGCATTTTTAATAATATATTTGAAAACGTTTAAAATTTCTCGAATATTTCATTAAGGTACGGAAAGTTCCAGCAATTTGCCTTAAAGCACGATGCCATGCACCACTAGTTTATCTATCTATTATTTATATCCTTTATCCCTTACCCGTGTGTCTATCTTGCCAATAAGAATGATGTTTCGAGCAGCAGCAACAGACGATGTTTAGTATAAATAGGAATGCAGCTAAAATCGTGCAAACTGCAACGGTTGCATAGAATGGTGAAAAGTCACCGTACTCTTTCTTGTAAAAAGGATTTTTCAGATAGGCATCCCGTTCGTCGAACACAGACGACATTGCTCACTACATGGGCAGGGTGATTATTTTAAACGCCTGGAAAAATAATAGACACAGATTAATAGAAATAGGAAAATATTATATACATATCTAACAACTCTAAAAAATAAAAATCAGAATAAAACACAACTGACGGATCACATTAATCAGCTCAAATATAACATTGATTTTTCCAATCCCACGATCCTACATTTCGAAAATAATTTATTTAAAAAAAGATTTAGCAAAGGATGCCCTAATATCTTTACACAACGAGACGGCCAAAAATAAAAGATTAGACAACAATTCGCTTTGCATTGACTATAAAATAATCCTTGACCATTTTCAAAAACGCCACCATATCTGAATGAAGCGTGTATTTTATTATTTTATTATTTTACCAAAAACATATGTTTGCCAGTCTTTTTACACTTTCGCAAAAATTTGTATACACAATTCATTCAGTATTTAGACGTTAGTCAATCTGTACACACTAGAATGCAACCAAAAATAGTCAAAAAAAATAATTAGTTTAAATGTTCCAGTTATTAATAGCTTGGTTTATCACAGTGTAATAGTGTAGTGTATTTTTGTATAATTAATTTTCAGACAAAACCACCAGCCTTTCAATTTTACTAATAATTGCAAATTGAACACATTCCAGAGACTCTTTGCAGAATCTTCTTTTATTCAACTTGATAAAAACAGCATAAATAATAGGAATGATACTTCTTAATGTCTCTAAATATAAATCGATGCATTATTCTTCATAGTATTTTCAAGTATTTTTTAACCTTCGATATTTTTTTAAAAATGCGATTGTTATTCCGATTTTATTAATTTTCAGAAAATATTTTACAATTTTTTTTTCACGTTACTCAAAGATTCTTATAATTATTTTATATACTCTATTTTGCAATGTAAGAAAAGAAAAAAAGGACTCTACTGACGAGCAAATTCTAAAAAATTGTAAGATAAAAAGGACTCTACTGACAAACAAACTGAAATAAAAAACATGAAAAAAGGACTCTACTGACAAGCAAATTCGAAAAAAATTGTAAGATAAAAAGGACTCTACTGACAAACAAACTAAAATAAAAAATATGAAAAAAAGGACTTTACTGACGAGCAAATTCGAAAAAAATTGTAAGATAAAAGGGACTCTACTCACGAACGAACTGAAATAAAAAATATGTAAAAAGGACTCTACTGACGAGCAAACTTAAATTCAAGGTATGAAAAGAAAAAAGGACCCACCTGACGAGCAAATTCGATAAAAATTTTAAGATAAAAAGGACTCTACTGACAAACAAACTAAAATAAAAAAAATATGCTAAAAGGACTCTACTGACAAGCAAACTTAAATTCAAGGTATGAAAAGAAAAAAGAAACCTCCTGACGAGCAAATTAGAAAGCAACTTAGAAGATTAAAAGAATGAACTTTACTGACGAGCAAATTCGAAAAAAAGTAACATAAAAAGACTCTACTGACGAACAAACTGGATAAAAAATATGAAAAAAGACTCTACTGACGAGCAAATTGTTTTTTCGAAGACATGAAAAGGGACTTTACTGGCGAGCAAATTAAAAACAACTTAGAGGATAAAAAGAGACTCTACTGACAAGCAAATTGTGTTTTAACAGATATGTACTGATGATGACACACATACAGTGCCGAAATGTACAAATAGAAAATTCAATTATTTTTTGTCTCTTAATTTTAGTCAAATATGTCGCTTATGATTTTTTTTAAATATTTTAAGCCAATAGTCAAGTGAAAGTCAATAATAATCGCACTGTTTATTCTGTACGTTCGACACTGAATGTGTGCTATCAATCAGCACATTTTTAAAATATCACACCGGGAAAAACACAAAGCATAATAATAAATCACAATAAAAAACACAAAATAAAATATTTAAACAAATAATGAACTGTGTTTTTTTCTGGTGCAATATTGTTAAAATATTGCTGTATGATGACACACATACGGTATCGAAACGTACATAACAAATAATTCAATTATTTATTGTCTTTTATTTCGACTATGTAATATATATAAAGTTTTTTTTTATAACAGTCAAGTCGTCGAAATAAAAAAATAAGTTAAGAAAAATTATTTTTTTTGTTGTACGTTTCGACACTTGATGTGTGCCATCATCCAGTTAATTCACCAAGTTAAAAGCATGAAACTTATACATATTAATAAAATGAATTTTTCTGATGGAATTTAACACAAAACCAAAATTATTAGAAAAAGAAAAAAGTTTCCATAAATATTATTATTTCCATACGTTTCGACATGTAATTCTATGACATCATCAGTGAAATATTTAAATTTATATAGTAGCATTTCAAAACCTAGACTGGGCGTTGGTTTAGAATAAAACCTAATTTAATTAAATAAAACCTAATTTAATTAAAACTCATGTTTAAATATAAATAGCAATATAAATAAATTTATTTAAATTAAATTAAACTACACTACTTTTAATACAAACCAAACCAAACCTAACCACAAACTTCAAGCAAAAACACAAAAAAAAACGTAAAACAAATTTCACACAAATTTGAAATAATATAACAAAAATTTCTAATTATTAATATAAATTTAATATTAAATATTATTATTACATTTGCACTACGTACAACTTTTTGGTATAAAAATGGGCGTTGTCTTGTACACGTAAAATTTCGTTTTAATTTAATTATTTCCACACATAAACGTTATTTTATTAGGATTATCGAAATATTACTAATTATTATTATTTATAATATATTATTATTATTATTATTCAACATACATGAGTGTTTTCTTCAATATAATGCCAAGCCGAATAGTAGTTTGTAATAAATAAACACACAACACAGGAATTACAATCAAACTGTTATATCGGTGTGGTTTACACCAATACATGGAAAAGATTGAGAATCATTTATAATTATGTATTTATGTATGTATGTATGGATAGGTGTGTGTGGGAATAAATATAAGAAATATTTTTGATGCCAATGTATGCGTTTTGTGGCTACGTGCATCACCTGTGATGCAGGCAGGATAGTGTGAGAGCTGGTGTACATTTTACACATTGTAATTGAATAATAGAATTTTAAATGAGTTATTATATATATATATATATATATATATATATCTATATATATATATACATAAACTAGATGACCCGACAGACGTTGTTCTGTATCCACACCTACCGTTTTTTAAATATTTATACCATTTAGTTAAAAATAATCATTATTGTTTTTAGCTAATAATGACATATTTCAATAATTTGTAAATATATGATTGGAAGATTTAGACATCGATAATTGTCTATTTTTATTACTTTATTACATGCTAAAAATTATAGGTCAATGAATGAATAGAAGGCATTATTAACCTATTGAATTAATATTTCAAATGGAAAGATATACTGAAAGTATTTCTTCGTCATTAAGTTCTTTTTGTTGACCAATGGATGGAAATTTTCATCCGATTTTGTTGGAATCGGATGGAAATTTTTATCTTTCCTTATTTTAGGCACTTTCTCAAAAGTTTGCTTGTCAGTAGAGTTCTTTTTTTCCTCCTCTTGTCTTCTTGTTATTAAAGTTTTGCGCACATTATTTTTTATTTTATTAGAGTTCTAATTACATTGTTTTAGTTTATTTATTACTGGTGAACAGTTCTTTAGTTGCTTCTCAATAGATTTTTTTTCTTATGTTAGTTTGTTCGTAAATAGAGTTCTTTTTTTAGTATTTTCTTGTCTTTTATAGTAGTTTATAAAACGTTTATAAAAGTAGTTCCCTTTTATAGGAGTTTGTTTTGTTTATCACTACGGAATTTAGTTTGCTTGTCAGTAGAGTTCTTTTTCCTACTTTTGTATATTAGTCCATAGAGATTTCATTTTTATTTTGTTAGAGACCTATTTTTATTGTTTCAGTTTATCAGTTGTAAAGAGTCCTTATGTTACTTGTCAGTAGATCTCCTTTTTAACTTCCCGTAGGGTAAGTTATTGTAATCGTCCAAAAATCTGAAATAATTTTTTTTCCATATCTTCACGTTTTAAAGGTTTCTGAACGTTTTACCATATCTTAAGAAAAATAGATGTGTGTGAGTGTGTGTATGTATGAATACAATTTTTCGTCCACATTTTCGAGCGCACGGATCAACCGATTTGAATGATTCATTTACCATTCGATTCCTATAGATAGGGAAATGTGCTGATTAGTTTTTGGCAAAGGCACCCCGCCGCTTTGGAGATTCGAAGCAAAGATGGCAAAAAATAAAAATCGATTTTTTGAGAGAACTGAGCATACGATTTGAATGATCTAACAAACATTCAATTTGTAATGATAGGGAGAATTGGTGATTAGTTTTTGGCAAAGGCAGGTCCAGTCGTTTCGGAGATACGGAGCTAACTGTGCAAAAAAATTTTAGTTTCTGAACTACATTGCTCGTCAGTGGAGTCCCTCTATTAAATTATATTTTGACTGTATGTAAAATTTCAATTTCATTGCAATGACAGTTTTTTCTTGTCTTATTTGTTTCCTATAGAATTTACTTTGCACGACAGTAAAGTTTTTTTTTCTCAATATGAATAAGCAACGAAACCAGCTCTCACACTATCAATTCGAATACAGTTCAGTTCTAAATTGATTTTAATTCCTAAACGAGTCAAGTCTATTTCGGTTTATATGTGCCACGTATATATGGTATGAATGATGTACTTATTTTCACACTAATTGTTTCAATTAAAATAATAAATATACGCATGTATATATTATAGATATTTAAAAATCGCAAAACTCAATTAGATATTTATAATTGGAAGACAAATAAGAAAATGTGGAATGGAAAATTTTAACCACGAAAATAAAGAAATGATTAAAGCAAATATATATATATATATATATATATATATATATATATATATTCATTTATATTTGTGTGTAATAGATTTTGAATATTCGCGCCAGAACGTATTAACTGTATTGTAACTAACTTCATGTGGACGCCATGTTTGTTGATTTGACATATTTGTAAATAAAGAATTTTCGTTCTTTTTCCAAAATTCAAAAAGTAAACAATTAATTGAAATAAAGAGATTCTGGTGTAAGACAAATAGTTATTAATATTATATATGTATTATATATATTTAAATTTAAATACTAATCATTTTTTGGTGTTGACAGTTCAAACAGTAACGCAACAGGCAACTTTGAACAGTATTGCCATATGTCACTTTGAACGTCGTTGATATATTTATTTAAACGTTATTTTTCGTGTAATTATTGTGCAAAATACAATAAACAAATAAAAATATCGACAACAAAAATAGAAATGCATAAAATAGTCACGATTTAAAATCATACTTTACACTATTCACTTTCCACAAACATAACCTCAAATTCTGACAGTTCCTTCTAAAACAAAACTCACGCACAATCTTTTGCGCTGTGTTAAACAAAACAAATAAAATCACAACCACACTTCGGATTAACAAAAACCATGTAAATACCCTTTAACATCATTTTCATACAAATTCTGTATCATTTACATATCATTTGTCTATTACATAACCTAACAATGTCGTCCATGACATTCGGTCAAAAGTCTTTCATTCCAACGGCGCCCCAAAAGGGCAGTTTCCCTCTGGATCACGAAGGACAATGTAAACTGTTTATGATCAAATATATGCGTTGTTTGAGAGAGAACAAAAACGATAATTCTAAATGTCGTGACGAGGCACAAAGTTATTTGGCTTGCAGAATGGACAACGAGTTGATGGCTAGAGAGGATTTTGCTAAACTTGGATTCGATAAGAAGGAAATAAATTGATACAGAAATAATAAAAGACTCTAATAGATGATAAGTAATAATAATAATTAAATATGGACAATGTAAATAATGTTAATAACAGTGCATCCGCAAGCAATAAGAACATTTTACTTGCTTGTACGGGAAGTGTAGCATCAATCAAACTACCTTTACTAATCGACAAGTTGTTCCAAAAAGCTGAAGACTCCAATATACATATAGAAGTGAGTACAGACATCAAACTTGGTACACCGGTATAAATAAAACATAATTGTGTCATTTTGCAGATATCAGTTATAGTAACAGAATATGCAAAACACTTCTTCGACCAATCAGAAATACCCCAAACCGTCAAAATATACACAGATGACCATGAATGGAAATTTTGGAACAAACGTGGTGACCCTGTTTTACACATCGATTTAACTAAATGGGCAGACATCATGTGCATTGCACCGTTGGACGCCAACACTTTGGCTAAAATATCAAATGTAAGAACTTAACTACCAGAAATCATTTTAAATCTCACATCTATCCTTTACCCAGGGTTTATGTGACAACCTCCTAACCTGCACAATCCGAGCCTGGAACACATCCAAGCCCCTTCTGTTTTGTCCAGCAATGAATACGAGAATGTGGGATCACCCCATTACAGCTCCACAAATAAAGACTTTAAAAGATTGGGGCTATATAGAAGTGCCTTGCATTTCTAAGACTTTGGTGTGCGGTGATACTGGTAATGGTGCTATGGCTGATGTTAATACTATTGTTGATGTTGTAATTGGTGAATTGAATAAAAAATTATGAAAGAATCACTTTGTTATCAAAACTAACCTCCAAATGGTACACAGGTCTGAATAATATTAGTTTGACTTCATGTATGTTTTATTTCTTTGAAGATGCTATACTGAGAATAACTAGTGCACTTATATTATGCATATTAAATGAAATAAATACAATAAATGGTTATTACAAACTAGTGGTGTATGGCATCGTGCCTTAAGGCAAATTGCTGGAACTTCCCGTACCGTAATGAAATATTTGTGGAATTTTAAATGTTTTCAAATAGATTATTATAAATACTGTAACTTTCATTATTTGTATTTTATAGACCAAATATAAAAGCTTTATAAATTGGACTGAAGGACCTTATCTCATAATTTTAAAAATCATATCAACTAAATTCCAAGTTGAAATTATTCATTTGAATTATATACGTGAGCTACAAGAGCGAATCATTTTTGATATTTGACAAACAATTATTGGAAAAAAAAATCGAAATTTTACAACAAAAAAATTTTTACTTTGTGTTTTTTAACAAGCAGAAAGTAATTTGAATCATTCAAATCGGATGCTTATTTCTCTCAAAATTTTTATTTTTAACAAATTTTGCTCCGTATCTCCGAAACGGCGGGACCTGCCTTTGCTAAAAACTAATCATTACTTCTGCCAATCATTACGAATTGAATGTTTTTCAAATCATTCAAATCAGATACTCCGTTCTCTCAGAAACTCGATTTCTATTTTCTGCATTCTTTGCTCCGTATCTCCAAAACGGCCGGACTTGCCTTTGCCAAAATCTAACCATCACTTCTCCCCATCAATACGAATCGAATGCCTTTTGAACCGTTGAAATCGCTTGATTATTACCTCTGAAACGTAAAGATGTGCAAAAATTTTCATTTTCGATTTCAGAGTCTAAAGAAGTTTTACTTCAAAAATTTTCGATTGTATTTTTTTTGTGGCATGTGGGGTATCATTTGAAAGGTCATTTTTAATAGAATCCGAATACTTAAAATAGGTATTCTAATTTCTGTGAAATTAGAATTTATCGGTTTAAATTGGTTGATCCGTGCTCCCCAAATCGTCGACGAAAAATTGTATTCACATATATACACACATAAATTTTTCTAAGGTATGCCAAAATGTTCAGAAACCTATGAAACGTAAAGAAATGAAAAATTTTCATTTTCGATTTCGAAGTCTAAAAAAGTTTTACTCCAAAAATTTTTATTGTATTTTTTTATGGCATGTGGGGTATCATTTGAAAGGTCGTTTTTAGTAGAATCCGAATATTTGAATAAATTTTCAAATTTCTGAACATAAAATAGTACTTGATGTTATATTAGAACTTATCGGTAAAAATCGGTTGATCCGTGGACCCGAAAACGTCGACGAAAAATCTCGTAAATGGATATCCACATAAAACACACACATACATTTTTTCTAAGGTATGTCAAAATGTTTAAAAATCACTGAAACATAGAGATACGCAAAAATGTCGATTTTCGATTTCAGAGTCTAAAGAAGTTTTACTTCAAAAAAATTTCATTGTATCTTTTATAGCATGTGGGGTATCATTTGAAAGGTCATTTTTAGTAGAATCCGAATACTCAAATAGGATTTATATTTCTGAATACAAAAAAGTACTTCCTTTGAAAGGTCACTTTTAATAGAATTCGAATACTTAAATAAGTTTTCAAATTTCTTAACACAAAAGTAGTACTTTTGTTAAATTAGAATTTAGCGGTCATAAAAATTCTCCTTCGGAAAGTTAATACATTTAAAAGTAATAAATAAAACTTACTCTACGGGAAGTTAATAATAAATGATAAAAATGTACTTACATTAATAAACTATAATTTTCTATACATATTTCCCTTAATCCTTTGGTCCTTGATAGACAGTTTGCAAAAGCGTGAAATAAGACCAAGAAGTACTCATGACCTGCAACAAATAATATAAAAACAAATAATAAAAATGTAATAATGAATAACATATAACTTAAGTTAATATTAGTTACCTTTCCAAAACTTGTTAAAGAAACCACTGAGAACCTCAAAGCAGTCAACTTTTGTGGCTTTTGTGCTCGAGCCATTAAAATTTGTGCAGATCTCTTGAATTTGCGGTCACAATTATTCCAATCGCTCTCGTAAATGGATTTCGACAAAGATTCGCTCTTAATAAAAAAAAAAAACAATAATAATTTTAGTATCTTTAACTGATCTTATGCTTGTTTCTTGTTAGTTAATATGTAAAAGTGTCTATCTATTCGCTGTGCGATCAGACGTATTTTGCATATAAACAAGCAAGAAAGAATCTTATGATAACAGAATTCTATATGGCGCAGTTATCATAACATTCTTCGTTGCTTGTTTATATGTAAAATACGCCTGATCGAACAGCAAATACATACACATTTTCACTGTTTCACTAACAAGAAACAAGCATAAGATAATGCTATTTTATGAGGCAGAATTGACCCCTCAGTCTATTATCTTATTACCTTTTCTATAAGTTGATGTCCAGCATCACAAAGTTGATAAATCTGCACCACCATAGATATTAAAAATATCAAAAACATAAATAAAGCGACTCCTGTTACTGCAGTTGTTTGAAAGCCGACCAGACAAATCAGGACAGAACTTCCTGAAAAGTTCATGAAAATCGAGAAGCTGAAGATTTTCTCTAACTCTTCACTAATTCTGAAAAAAAAGAAATATTGTAATTGGATGAAATATAATTAATTATGTCGCTATTTAACGTTGTGCTTTTGTAAATCACCAAAATCTGGTAGGAGGCTTTTGACCCGCCATTTTAAGCTTCATAATGTAAAAAACAGTTGATGGTGATGGCTTACAGAACACCGACGTTTTTTGTTTAAAGTTATATAAATAGCAGAAAACGTCAACAAATTTTATTTCCAATTTTAATCTCAAATAGGTTCTATTTTCTATAATTATTTACCTATTGTATGAGAGAAACAAAGGACTAACTTCAGACTCATTCTTAACCGACGCCATTTGGTTTTGAAGTGAACTTGGCAATAGATCCGACAAAATGGAGGAAAAAATTCTTTTACTTACCCGATTAATACTTTATGTCGTTGTATACAATCGACCAACTCCTTGTGCATCATAACATTTCTAGATTTGTTACTAATTTGATTTAAAGCATCCCTATTCGATTCTCCATCTTGGAAACCGATTCGGGCAACCCTTTGGGCTAACAAATCGAAATGCATACAGAGATGTCCTGTGAGGAATGAGAATAACAAATCGGCTCCTAGTAGGGCATTCATAGCAACGTAACTAAAACAAAAAAATTGATGTTAATATAATAAATACTTCTGTTTTTTTATGTCTTTTATCCCTTACCCCGATGCGACATGATACAAATACATAAAAGGATAAATATCAGGCCGAAAAGAGTCGAATGGCGTCCACACTAAATACGGCAGTAGAAGTATCACTTCATTTTTTGCAAAATAGTAATAAGCAGTGGTGCACAAAGCGCATACATTGAAGATCCAGATCAAAAACTGCATCAATGTCGTGAACATCACGGATTTGCGAATCATACTTTTTATGGTTTTGGTTATTATCGAATTGAATCTGGAAAAGAAATAGTAAAATACGCCTGATCGTACAGCAAATAATTTTCACACGCTGTTATCGTTCATATCTTATATATAAAAATGGAGCTCTCGATCAAATGATTCCCTAAAACTCGAAAACGGCTGAACCGATTTGGCCAGTCTTAGTCTTGAAAAATTCGTGCTAATCAGTAAGTTGTCGGAAAGGTGAGATATTATTTCAAAATCGTGTAAAAACTTTACATTTTTAATTTGAACATTTTTGTAGAAGCGTAATTTGAATAAAACAATGGACGGTGGCTAATACGATAATAATTATCTATTGATAAATTATTATCTATTACTACCTCTCATCGGCATTATTGTACATCTGTTCCAACTTGGAAATGATATCACCGACTTTTTGCTTCTGCAGTTGCACCGTGGCCACTTTAATAACCCCCAAAATGCAAAAACCGACACATGGGGCTACTTCGGTCAATTTCAAAAAGTTCGTGTAATTGTTTAGGCCCTTCAGGAAATAAATCAACTCACCCAAGATGCACATGTAGATGACAACCATACATAAAACGTAACTGAAAATAGATAAATAATAAAATATAGAAAAAAACTAGTGGTGTATAGCATCGTGTCTGAAGGCAAATTGCTGGAACTTCTTGTATTGTAATAAAATATTCGAGAAATATTAAACGTTTTCATTATTATGAATACTGTAACTTTCATTATTTTTGCTATCTTGTTATATCTGAGCAAATCAAATGTAAATCATAAATCAATTTATCTCCGGAACATTAATTCGATTTTTGTTTGAAATCAAATTTAGATCTGAATTTTCAAGAGAGAACTTTTATCAGTACTGCTTGATATAAAGCTGACTTTAGCAGATTGCCTTTAATAAATTTATTTTATTTTAATAAATCTAATTAGCATCCCGAAAAAGCTATTTTTATTTAAAATCATATTGAGATCTAAATTTTTCATTTATCATTACTGCTTGATATCAAACTATGCAAGAATCTATAAACTCTATTAAAAATCTGTTATACTGCTCAATAACAATAAGGTGTGCAAGCATGTATAATATCAAGTGAAAATCTGATCGCTTGATACCGAATCTTTGATATCAAGTAAAAATATAGTATCATACTGTTCGATACCAAGCTGTCCAAGAATCTATGACTTCAAGTAAGATTCTAGTGTCATACTGCTCGATATTAAACTATGCAAGAATCTGTGAACTCAATTAATACTGCTCAATAACAAGTTGTGCAAGCATATATATCAAGTGAAAATTTGGTATTATACTGCTCGATACCAAGATGTCCAGAATCTTTGATATCAAGTAAAAATCTGGTAACATACTGCTTGATACCAAATTGCTAAAAAAATTAAGATCTCAAACGAGAATTTGGTATCAAGCTGCTTGATATCAAACTGTCCAAGAGAGAAATTGATGGCATACTGCTCGATGCCGAGCTGTCCAAAAACTTTTGATATCAAGTGATTTTTGGTACCAAGCTATTCAAGAAATTATGATTTTAAGTGACAAATTAGTTGGGTATCAAGCAGTATGATCTCAAGTGAAACTCTGCTATCGTGCCGCTTGATACCAAGCATTCCGTTAGATGTTTTTCAATACTTACATAAATTTCAAAAAATAATTAACACCGAAACGTCTTTTGGTTTGTCGAACACTCAAACCGATGGTTAAGAAAATTCCGTTGCACAATGCAAAAGATTTTGCGAAGGATGGAACTTTCTCGATTTGGAGTCCATTTTATCAGAATCACCTTAAAATAATAAAAAATATAATAAAAATATTTTTGAATAATAATAAATAATTAATCAAAGTAGATTCTACTCTATTGCCTGAAAGAAATTGTATCGTCCCATATTATTCCGAGCAAGAAAGAATCTTACGATAACTGCACCATCGAATATTCTGTTATCATAACTTTCTTCTTTGCTTGTTTATATGTAAAATGCGCCTGATCGCACGGCAAATAGATAGACATTTTCACTACTTATAAACAAGCATAAGATTTTAACGCTATGTTATGAGCTCTGTTACGGCAGAATTGTCCCTTTAATTAAATATTACTATATATTATTTTGTTTATTATAATTATTTAGTATGATGGATCTGCCTTTTACAATGAATAACATAATATATGTAAAAATATTAAGTACTTACCGCCGCGATTTTATTTAAATTACTGTTTGATTTTTTTTCGGTAACTTTACTAATATAATAAAATTAACATATTATAAATATCTTATAAAGGACACATTAAAACAAGGGCCGGTGGTAAAAATATTTGACAAAGTCCAAACTAAATAAATGTATAAACTGAAACACGTGCAGTTTTTTTGCCACCGGCTCTCCGTCTACGCCATAATTTATTATAATGATGTTATGAATTTAGGTGCTTTACATAATTTATGTGTGTACTTAAAACAAATCAAATTTTTCTCAAATTACACGTCTTGACCGTTTTACGTACACCTGCGAGAAAAAAATGGAGAACTTTTCTATATAATCATCAAGTTATTTCGGACTTGATAGAGATTGAATAAAAAATGAGAACAAAAACGGTTACATGATGTGACAACATGGTTAATAATAAATGTCGATTATTATTTGTTAAAGTATAGTGTAATCAAGTGTAAGTAAAGACAGAAGTGTAATCAAGAGTAGGAATTCCAGAATTCTAGATCCTCCCCCCACGAAGTAATACCTAACGGCGGTTCTTGTGAGACTAAAAGGTAATATATAATAAAACACGAATATTGAAATTTGAATTTCTTTAAAAGAAAATATTATAAAGTCCGGATACGTTTCGGCGATAGTCGTGAGTCATCCTTCAGTAGAACTAAATTGAATTTAACTAAATAATGTGACAAGTAAATATGAAAATTACGAATAAAAATTTAGTACTTACAGTCAGATCCTCATTTTAAAAACCGCAAAAACAATATTCCAACTTGTTCAGGAAACATCTAAGTCGTGTAGTTTTGTTTTCTTTGTGTGCCCACTTTTTAGTGCACTACTTTATGATGATGTAGAAGCTGCATTAAGTAAAAGAATTAGGGGGTAATTCTGCCTCATAAAATGGTATTGCCATGGCAACGCCGTTAGTGAAACTTTAAAAATGTCTATGTATTTGCCATGCGATCAGGCGTATTTTACATATAAACAAGCAAAAAATGTTATGATAACAGGATTCTAGATGATGCAGTTATCACAACATTCTTTCTTGCTGTGTTTATTATGTAAAATACGCCTGATCGCACAGCAAATGAATAGACATTGTCACATATTCACTAACAAGAAACAAGCATAAGATAGAGCTATTTTATGCCCGATAAATCAGATTCAATAGTAAACACATTTGCAAGAGATATCTATCTGTTTACCTGTCAACCCATGTGCTTGTCTACCTGTCTACTAATAATTTTATTAATATATATAAATCTATAATATACAAAGATTTGTAATGAATTTGCAATAATTTTGCTCCGAAATACGTCTCCAAAATGTTTTTTGAATCACTCTAATCGGGGGTACCGTTTTCTCAAATTGAATTTGCTGTTTTTTGCACTTTTTGCATCGTACCTGCCTTTAACAATAACTAATTAGCACTTCACACGAATCGATTTTTTCTTGAATCATCCTAATCGGTTGTTCTGTTTACTTAAATATAATTGCCTTTTTTCACTTTTTGCACCGTACCTCCGAAATGGCAGGACCTGCCTTTAAAAGAAAACTGATCAGCACATCACGCCGTCAATACGAAAGGAATGTTTACTGAATCATTCAAATCGGTTGAGCAGTGGTCACTAAAACAATGGCGAACAATTGTAACGAATTGAATTGCTATTTTTTGCACCTTTTGTTCCCGTATATCTAAAACAGCTCGACCTGTCTTTCACAAAAACTAATCAATACGTCTACCTAACAATATAAATCGAATGTTGTTTGAATCATTCAAATCGGTTGAGCAACGCTCCCGAAAACGTAGACAAAAAATTGTATCGAATCGAATTGCTATTTTTTGCACTTTTTGCACCGTATCTCCGAAACGGGTAAACCTGCCTTTCACAAAAACTAACCAGCACATCTCCCTATCAATACGAATCGAATGTTTATTGAATCATTCAAATCGGTTAAGCAGCGTTTTCGAAAACGTCGGCTAAAAATTGTATCCAATCGAATTGCTATTTTTTGCACTTTTTGCTGCGTACCTCCTCTAAACCAAGTAGACCTGCCTTTACAAAAACTAATCAACACGTCTCCTTATCAATATAAATCGAATGTTTATTGAATCATTCTAATCGGTTAAGCAGCGTTTTCGAAAACGTCGGCTAAAAATTGTATCGAATCGAATTGTTATTTTTTGCACTTTTTGCACCGTACCTCTAAACAGCTAGACCTGCTTTTTACAAAAACTAAACAACACATCTCCCTATCAATACGAATCGAATGCTTTTTGAATCATTCAGATCCGTTGATCCGTGCGCCACAAAACGTCGACGGAAAAATGTATCAAATTGAATTGTCATTTTTGCACCGTACCTCCGAAACGGCTAGACCTGCCTTTTACAAAAACTAATCAACACGTCTACCTAACAATATAAATCGAATGTTGTTTGAATCATTCAAATCGGTTGAGAGCACGCTCCCGAAAACGTAGGCAAAAATTGTATCGAATCGAATTGCTATTTTTTGCACTTTTTGCACCGTATCTCCGAAACGAGTAAACCTGCCTTTCACAAAAACTAACCAGCACATCTCCCTATCAATACGAATCGAATGTTTATTGAATCATTCAAATCGGTTAAGCAGCGTTTTCGAAAACGTCGGCTAAAAATTGTATCGAATCGAATTGCTATTTTTAGCACTTTTTCCTCCGTATCTCCAAAACGACTGGACCTGCCTTTCACTAAAACTAATCAATCATCTCAATAGGAATCGAATGTTATGAATCATTCAAATCAATTGAGTAGTCACAATTTTCTTTTAACAAAGAAAACGAGTCTAACATAAAACTATTTTTATTATAAATACATTTCTATCGGGTTAAAATACAAGAATATCCAATTCTTATAATATAAATACATATATAATTATATAATCATAGCAAAATTATGTAAAATCGTACACAAAAATATAATATATACTCCTGGCCTAGTCACCCTAAGCTAACCAAAAAAAGGGTAAAATCATCATAATCAACAACAGTATATAAAAGACGAATCAAACGAGACAGTTCACACGTAAAAAAATATTTCACTCGTTTTTGTTTTTGATCAATTTTGTTTGGCAAATTACAACCAGCGCAGTTTTGATATTTCATAATTGAGATAAAGTAAATTTAATCGTTTGGCTCGATAATAATAATGGTCTGATGGGTTGGGGGGGACTTTAGTTTAGTCTCTAACACTATCAGGATCATCACATTATCAGCGCTCTTCGATGATTACAGTTTCTTGAGGATACAGTTTCAGTTCTTGAAGTGTCGATACTGGGTCGATTGTTGTTAACTGAAATATAAACGATACAAATAATAATGCATAAGTAACTCTAGTTAGAATTAGAATTAATATCTAGTATATCACAAGATTCTTCCTTGCTTGTTTATATGTAAAATACGCAAATAGTTAGACATTTTCACAGTACCAAGCATAAGATAGCGTTGCTATGACAACGCTATTTTATGAGGCAGAATTGCCTAGTAAGTTTAGTTTCCAGTCGGTCCGAAGTATTATTAAACTAGTTGGTTTGGTATTTAGCCTTGAGGCAAGTTACATGAACTTCCCGATATGTGTAATTAATCGACTTAATTAATAAAAATAATTTAATTTATGAGTGATTACAAGTATTCCAAGTGGATTTGTTACACATGATTGAAAACGAACGAACACTTTGACTCGGAGTATTTTCTAATAGCAAATTTTCAAAAATCACCAGTTTTTATAATTGAACCAGTTTCCATAGGACTTTAATGGTTTACTATGTTCATTAAGATCAAGTACTAAGTAAATCGTCTAATTTTAATTTAACAAAACGTCAAAAAAACTACTCATTTTCTTAATCTTTGATTAATTTTAAAATGAAACTACTTGTCGTAAGGCCGTAATATTTCAGTAAGTTCTATAAGACCATGATATATATCGTCAAAAAAAGTTCCATAAAAATCGGCTTCAATTTTTTTTTCAACAGTTAATTACAAGAAAACGGCTCGGTAGATTTTCACCTAAAACTAATCAGTATCATTTCCAACCAATACCTTTCGAACAGTTTTTGATTTTTTCAAATCGATTCGGTAGTTTGAGATTAAATGTGGACGAAAAGTTTAACAACTTTTTTTCAAATTACAAAGACGCGGCTCGGCAGATCGTCTCACGAAACTGACAAATTATAGTCCTCATTGAGATACATCAAACAGCTTTTAAATTTATGAAATCGGTTCAGGCGTTTTTGAGAAAACGTCGATCGAAGGTTTAATTTTGTCAAATGTCAATAAACGATACTAATTTTTGCAAACTTTGACGATTTTTCAAAGTTAAACCAATTGTCGAAGGGCCGTAATATTTTAGTATGATCTACATTCTACAAGACTCATCAACAAAAATCATGAAAATCGTCGATTTTTTTTTTTGAAACATTATTACAAGAAACGGCCCGGCCGATCTTCACTAAAAACTAATCAGCACGATTCCCAATCAAACGTCGATTTACGGCAAAAATTTGTTCACACACACACACACATACACGCACGCAGACACACACACGCACATACTTCTTCCAAATGTTGGTCTCATTCGATTCTGAATGGCTTAAAACGTCGAGAAAACATAAAATTAGCGAGTCGGATTTTTTGATGAAAACATAAACTTCTCCTTCGGGATGTTAATTATTTATTAAATTATGCATGACTTATTGAACTTATTATCACTTACATCCTTTCTTGGCCAGCTCGAAATAAATTTATAATCCTCGCTTGGATATCCAAGAACTATCATGTAATCCAATAATACCTTAAAAAAAAAACAAATAAACAATTATAAACAATGTATTAAGTTAAAATCGTCCCATTTAAGTTACTTTTAATTCTGTCGTGATTAGAAAACGCCTCTCAGTAAAGCTACCGGTTGGCAGTCGTATCCTTATTTTTGTAATACCTGAAAATAAAGAAAAATTATATTAGTTATAT